AAATATAGGTTAAAATGTTTAGAAAAATCTTAAGGATAATCACTGAGTTGAAAATAAGAAAAAAACCCTTCAAAAGAAAAATCAGACAAAGCAGCAGACAAATACTGCCATGTATAAAGCAAATAGCAAATATCAAAGAAACATCAAAACAGAAAACAGAGTATGAAGACAAAATAAAACCAAATATAAACTTTATAACTATAAATATGAATGCCTTAAAAATACAAAGGCACAAATTGAATCAGGCAAATGAAAAGAAACAAAACAAAAAAGAAAACAGTGCTTGAGACATTAAAATCAGAGCAAGACCAAAATAATTAGGTGGAATAAAGAGAAGGTCTTTATACTGCAAAAGACCTTTATATTAATATCTTAATATAAATACCTTGATGTAATTATTTATAATTTAGGATATCTTAATATAAAGAGAACATCTTTATATTGCTGATTCACAATGATGATAACAGTAACAATCGTTATGTGCCAAATAACGTATCATCAAAATATGTAAAGTAAAATCATTAAAATACAAGAAAGAAATAATGGAAATGTCAGAGACTTTAACCTTTCCTACTCTATGAGGTCAAGTAAGCATATAGAAGATCTCAGGAATGTAACTGATGAGGTTAATTTAACAGATACACATGAAACATTGTGGCTAATGAAAGCAAATATACCTCTTCCTATGCCAATGGAGTAGTCAGGAAAATTGATAATTCAATAAGTTCCCCGAAGAATAATCATTTTATTACAATAGAGTTAAAATGAAGATTAGTAACAAAGATTTAACTCCCTCAAAATCACAACTTAATCATTTGAAATTAGCTTTACTTTAATTCTTAGTTCTTTAGTTAATTCTTTAGTTCACTTGATAAAAATATTCCAAGAATTATTTTCTTAAAATATCCAATTAAGAGAGAAGCTTCTGGCCGAGCACGGTGGCTCATGCCTGCAATCGCAGCACTTTGGGAGGCTGAGGTGGGCAGATAACCTGAGGTCTGGAGTGAGGTCCAGAGTTCAAGACCAGCCTGACCAACATGGAGAATCCGCATCTGTACTAAAAATACAAAAATTAGCCGGGCATGGTGGCGGGCACCACCAGCTTGGGAGGCTTAGGCAGGAGAATCGCTTGAACCCAGGAGGCGGAGATTGCAGTGATTGGGGATCGCCCCACTGTACTCCAGCCTAGTGACAGAGTAAGACTCCATCTCAAAAAAAAAAAAAAAAAAAAGAAAGAAAGAAAGAAAAAGAGAGGCTTCTACCTAAGACTAACAGGAAAATTAGGAAGCATAGATCTATAATTTTAGTGTAGATATGATAATAGCATTATACTTAACAATAACATCACCAACTTCACCCACTTACTGACCACTGATTAGGATAAATAGTAGCACCTGCTTTATAGGAGAGCGTGAAGATTTTATGTGATAAATTTCTAAAATGCTTACAGAAATACATATCATAAAGTAAGCCCTCAATAAAAGTCAGTTTTGAACTACAGGTAGAAAGTGTATTTTTAGAACTATGTTTAAAGCAAATAACCTCACCTAGTAGTGAGTGATTTAAATAAACAAATACTTCTGTTTTCCTCATGCAACAAGAGCCCCAGAAGTAAGCAGTCTAGGACTGGAATTGCAGCACAACAATACTGTCAGGCACTAAGACTTCTCATAACTTCCTGTTTTCCTATCCTTCTTTTCTATCTATCAGCCTCATGACTACAAGATTGCTGGTACAGGCCAGGTGCGGTGGCTCACACCTGTAATCCTAGCACTTTGGGAGGCCGAGGCAGGCGGATGACCTGAGGTCAAGAGTTCGAGACCATCCTGGCCTATGTGGCGAAAGCCTGTCTCTACTAAGAATACAAAAATTAGCCAGGTGTAGTGGCGTGTGCCTGTAATCCCAGCTACTCAGGGGGCTGAGGCAGGAGAATTGCTTGAACCTCAGAGGCAGAGGTTGCAGTGAGCCGAGATCTTGCCATTGCACTTGAGCGTGGGTGACAGAGGGAGACTCCCGCTAAAAAAAAAAAAAAAAAATTGCTGGTACACATCCAGGCATTGCATCTGCATTCCAGGAGGAAAGAAGGGAGATCAAAAGCTTTATGTTTTTGGAACCGTGCCTTTTGATTTGCGACGAGAGCTCTCCCCACTGAATTCTCACTGATCAGAAATATGTTGTACAGCTAATGCTAATTGCAAAGGAGGCTGGGAGATGAAGGATTCTTAGTTGAACACAGTGCTATGCCTAACAAAATGCTGACAAAGGAGGAGAAGCAATAGACATTGCATAGGTCACCAGCAGTGTCTTTCATAGGAGGTATAAATAATTTTAATGTACACTAATAAGTTAAAATATTGTAAGAAATGGAATAGCTGTCAAAGAAACATATTTATATGTAAATATATGCATATATATTTCCTTGATTCAAAATGATGGAAGATTTGCTTTTTAATTCTTTGAGAATATATTTCTATTGTTTTTTAAAAGGTTCCAGAGGATGCAAAAAGATAAGAAATATCTCTTTGTATTTCAAAAATGGCAAAACCTTGCTACCTTACAAAACTTGCTCAAAGAAAAATAAAACACAGGCCAAACTTATTTATTCATAGAGATAAAAATGCTAAATAAATAAAAGTAAATACATCTCAGCATGAAAATTAACAATAACAAGCTGTGATTAAGGATTTATTTCTGGAATTAAGGAATGGTTAAATAATTGGATATCTATTTATATAATTCATCTCATCAGCAGATAAAATGTGAAAAATGATTTTTTTTCCACAAAAATTCCTAGTGACTCCTAATTAAAGATTCTTCTCTAATATTATAAAGCATGTCCAAAACCAGCAATGGCCACCTTTTTAGTCAGTGACATTTCTATTAAAGTCAAGAACAAGACAATAAGGCCCACACTATCACCATTGTTCTTTTATCCTTAAAATAAGTGAGTTTGAGGACAGAGGCAAAAATCATCAGTTGTCAATGATATGCTTAGGTATCTGAAAATTTCCATAGACTATGGAATAAGCCTACGATAGCATATTAGCTAGTCATGCAGAAATATATAAACTTTAATAAGAAATCAGTAGTTTGAAAGCACGATAAACACAAAATCCCAATTCATTAGCAAATATAACCTAGGCATTAACCTGACAAATACAAATAGATGTAGAATCTGTTCAGGAAACATTTTAAACTTCCCAGAATAATGTAACGGAAGACTTGAACAGACATGGAAGCCATCTATGTTGTTCATAGGCAAGACCTAACATTAGAAAAATAATACTTTTTCCTAATTAGCCTATAAATCTAATGTGTTTTAATTAAATTCTATTGGGATTTCTTTTAAAAACTTGACAGACTATTCTTGAACTCATAGGAAGAACAAACAGATAAGAATAGTAAAGATAATTTTGATTAAAAAGGGTACTAAGGCACTCTTTGGCCTCCTAGAAATTAAACATGTGAGGGTTCTAATAATTAAAATAATAAGATAACAATACAGGAACAGACATATTTTCAATAGAAAGAGAAGTCCATAAGGAAACCTAATTATGATGAAAAGTTTATCTTAGGATAGAAATTGATTTTGTGTTTTATCACTGAAGAAAGGATACTTCTTTAAAATGGTATTGGAAAAAAAAAACATAAGGAAAATATAATATTCCAACCCTATTTCAGATCTTATCCCAAAAGAAAATTCAGATGTATTAAAATCTTAATGTAAGAAATGAAACTACAAAATGACGAAAAGCAAGTATAAAGAAGCTTTTACATGATTTTGGGATGGAAGATTAGTTTACTTTTTGTCCTGCAGGTACTAACCCAGTAGGTTTCAAATACATGTGTTACTCCTTATATTTGCAAATATGTGGGCAAGACAGGAAACGGGGGGGGGGGCAGATACTATCACAGTGATGGGCGGTGTTGTTACTGGTATTTAGTTAGTGGGTGCCGCTGGGGATGCAAAAATCCTTCATGGCATGGGACATTCCCACATAGTAAGGAGCTGTCCAGCCCCAGATGCCAAAAGCAACCACACTGAGAATCACATGTTGTGGAACATTAATAACTATTTTGAAAGGTCATTATTAATCATGAAGTGGTCCAATAACTAATATTTCCTGTCTGAGGTTTTCTCCCTCTTCTTTTTTAATGGCAAAATGCCTATACATGACTAAGACATCTGAATAATGGCTTTTCTGTCCTCTTCTACATACCAGCTTTCACAATTTGTCAAATGTAGGCAACTAGCTTTTAAAAATATAATGAAGAACCTATTGGTGGTGGTGTAAATTGGAGGCATTTGTAAAGAGAGAAGATCTCTGGACAAGCTCGCATTCGCTATGCCTCATTTCCTCTTCTTTATTGTGTGGATAAGGGGAAATGGTGTTTATTGGGAGAGGACCGAAGAAGTTATATTATTTCCAGTTTACACGATTACTGTAAAAGCTTATCTCAGACAGTCTTATCTTAGGACATTCCACGAGTCTCACTCTAGGGGATGTCATATGCCAATATTTCTTGGTGTTCTTCTGATTGAAATGCCTTTTAAAAAACTTGTTTGAATACCTCAAAATAGGCATGGCTGTTAAAAAGAGAGAGTTGAGTTCTGATAGCTAACATATAAAAGTTTAGTGTATGATAAAAATATTGTATCAGAATTTTCAAAGGGAAAGGGACACTTTGGCTGCAACAAAGAAGGCCACTTCTCAGAAGCGATTCTCCCTCTTTTTCAGAGCTCTCTGTTAACTCAGCAATGGTAACATTGATTTCATACCTTATTATACAGTTATATAAATAATCGAAAAGAACAGAATGCCTGACTGGCTTAAATGAGTACAGGTTTATTTATTTATTTTTTCTCACATAGCAAGAAGTCTAGAGGAAGACAGTTGAGGGCTGGTGCAGGAGCTCAACAGTCTAAAAACTGGGTTCTTTCTGTTTCCTCTGCCATTCCTAGGACACTGATTTTAATTCACATTCTGGTTACCCCACAGTTGCTGCAGCTCCTGGTGGTGTAACATCGTTCCAGGCAGGAAGAAAGTAAATGGTGAGCAACCCCCTGGACCTGAGTGTGTTAGTGCCAACTATTGGAGGGTGAGGTCCGTTTCTTTCTGGAAGCAAGGAGAAGAGGGAGAAGGAAAAGAAGGAAGAAGGGAGAAAGAAGAATGATGAGAAGCCAACCAGCCAGGAAAGCTAGAGGTGGTAAGATCACTGTACTTCTTAAACTTTGACGTGCATGCAGATCACTCAGGGTTTTGTTAAAATGAAGATTGTGATTCAGTAGGTCTGGAGTATCTGCATGTCTAAGGAGGTCCTCCATGATGCTAATGCTGCTGGTCTGTGGTTTGTGCTTTGAGCCTGATAAAGTCTCTTGAGAGTGGAGTTACTTCAATATAAAACAATTCTAGTTTCTTTTTAAAAGTCTCAATTCAATTTTTAATATGTTCAGTGGTGAAATTGGGATATTCTACTTTATTTCAAGTTCTTCCTCCCAGTACTTGAGTGACCTTGTTGTTGGGCCTGCAGCTGGCTGTCTCATTCTTATGGGGCTTTTGTGCAGGATACTCTTCCATCCTCTGCATCATGGGAAATCTCTGATTTGCAGTTCGTTCAACTTGGCTTCTTTATTTCCCCACACATTCACTTTTCTGCATAAAATCATCTTTTGATCTTGTGGCCACTGAGGTTGGCCATCTTTTGTCTGGGCATTTAGGTGAAACTGAGAGTGTATTTTGTTAGCATTGTTAGCCTCCAGGTTCTTTCTGCTGCATTTCTGCCTTCCAGGAGGATCTACTTAGGGAAGACCTAAGACATCCCCAGCCTTGCTCTGTTTCTTGAGTGGATCTCATTGGGTCCATAGGAGAAACCTCACACATTCTTTGCCCAGACACATTCTGTAACACTAGGCTATTTCCAATGGAGGAATGTCTCTTTTGTCCACTATCAGGGTAGATAACATGTTATTCATTCTCACACTAGATTTCTCAGGCCTGCGTCAGACCCTTGCCCACTGTGCAGCCCAGTCTCCAAATGGCCCTACTAATTTTTCTTTTTTTTCTGGCTAAAGATAAGGAGTAAACACACTTAACCCTCTCCCTTTGGAGCAGGTACATGCATAGCTCTCTTCGAGAAAACTCTCTCAGTTCAAATGTAACCACATTCTTGAATGTTTTAGACTTCTGTATCTTGGTTTCCAACCATAGCTTTGCAAGTTCTGCCTAGAGGATCTGCTAATGGATTTTGGAATGCCCCAGTGGTTGTCACATTGTAAATATGCAGTTGTGCAAGCAGTGCATTGCAGAACTCTAGGGGTGCCGTTCACCTCCAAGTCACTGCAGATTTGTACAGTGATGATTTTTTCTTAATTGCACTTTATGCAGTTAAGAAAAAGGAAAGGTTACCTTTTTCATAATGCACAAAATCCCCTTTTAATCTACTGGCAGCTAATTTTGGTAATAGCTGTGTCAGGGTCATCAGAAAAACTGAGAAGTCCCTCATTATTAGGAATGTTTTAAATTACTTTATAAAATGTTATGAGGACTTGTATATATTTGATTCCATATTATTATCCCTTGAATACCCAGTGCAATTTTATCTTGTTAATTTTTAAATCATTCATTTGCTTCTTTGGGAGTTTTTAAATTTAATTTTTGAAAAGTAAATATGAAACAGAGGGATTCAAATTTTGGTTGTTCTTTGCATTCAGATATTCTGCAATCAGTAAGTTGAGTTCCTTTAGTTGCTTTATGTTTCTTATCAATATTTCAAAGCACTTGTTTCCACAAATTTTAATTTTCATACAATTTCTTATTCTTGCATATAACTTCAAAAACTTTGCTTTTTGGCTTTGTTTTTTTGGCTCTTACATCAATTACAAATTTTAAAAATTCATTACCTTATTTTAAAGGTTGATGCCTGCCTATCCAACTCCATTCCCATCTGGCCTAGAACATTTAAATTGGCTGTCAGATTTTTTTTTATTTTGCTATTGTATTTATTTATTTATTTTTAAATTTACTTTAAGTTCTGGGATACATGTTCACAACATGCAGGTTTGTTATGTGTGCCATGGTGGTTTGCGGCACCTATCAACCTATCATCTAGGTTTTAAGCCCCGCATGCATTAGCTATTTATCTTCACGTTCTCCTTCCCCTCTCCCCCCACCCCCTAACTGGCCCCAGTGTGTGTTGTTCCCCTCCCTGTGTCCGTGTGTTCTCATTGTTCAACTCTCACTTATGAGTGAGAACATGTGGTGTTTGGTTTTCTGTTTTCTGTGTTAGTTTGTGGAGAATGATGGCTTCCAGCTTCATCCATGTCCCTGCAAAGGGCATGATCTCATTTCTTTCTATGGCTGCATAGTAGTCCACGGTGTTTATGTACCATTTTCTTTATTTGGTCTATCGTTGATGGGCATTTGGGTTGGTTCTATGTCTTTGCTATTGTAAACAGTGCTGCAATAAACATACGTGTGCATGTGTCTTTATAGTAGAATGATTTATATTCCTTTGGGTATATACCCAGTAATGGGATTGCTGGATCAAATGGTATTTCTGGCTCTAGATCCTTGAGGAATCGCCACACTGTCTTCCACAATGGTTGAACTAATTTACATTCCCACCAACAGTGTAAAAGCATTCCTATTTCTCTACAGTGTCGCCACCATCTATTGTTTCGTGACTTTTTCATAATCACCATGCTGACTGGTGTGAGATGGTATCTCACGGTGGTTTTGATTTGCATTTCTCTAATGATCGGTGGTGTTGAACTTTTTTTCATATGTTTGTTGGCCACATAAATGTCTTCTTTTGGGAAGTGTCTGTGCATATCCTTTGCCCACTTTTTGATGGGGTTGTTTGTTTAAGTTCCCTGTAGATTCTGGATGTTAGACCTTTGTCAGATGGGTAAGTTGCAAAATTTTTCTCCCATTCTGTAGGTTGTCTGTTAATTCTGATGATAGATTCTTTTGCTGTGCAGAAGTTTAATTAGATCGCGTTTGTCAATTTTGACTTTTGTTGTGATTGCTTTTGTTGTTTTTTTCATGAAATTCTTGCCTATGCCTATTTCCTGAATGGTATTGCCTAGGATTTTTATGGTTTTTGAGTTTTACATTTAAATCTTTAATCCATCTTGAGTTAATTTTTGTATAAGGTGTAAGGAAGGGGTCCAGTTTCAGTTTTCTGCATATGAGTAGCCAGTTTTCCCAGCACCTTATTAAGTAGGAAATCCTTTTCCCATTCCTTGTTTTTGTCAGGTTTGTCAAAGATCAGATGGCTGTAGATGTGTGGTGTTATTTCCGAAGTTTCTCTTCTGTTCCATTGATCCATATGTCTGTTTTGGTACTAGTACCATGCTGTTTTGGTTACTGTAGTCTTGTAGTATAGTTTTAAGTTAGGTAGCATGATGCCTCCAGCTTTGTTCTTTTTGCTTAGGATTGTCTTGGCTATATGGGCTGTTTTTTGGTTTCATATGAAATTTAAAGTAGTTTTTTCTAATTCTGTGAAGAATGTCAATGGTAGTTTGATGGGAATAGCATTGAATCTATAAATTACTTTGGACAGGATAGCCATTTTCATGATATGGATTATTCCTATTCATGAGGACAAAATGTTTTTCCATTTGTTTATGTCCTCTCTTATTTATTGAGCAGCGGTTTATAGTTCTCCTTGAAGAGGTCCTTCGCATCCCATGTTAGCTGTATTCCTAGGTATTTTATTCTCTTTGTATCAATTGTGAATGGGAATTCATTCATGATTTGGCTCTCTGCTCTCTCAACATGCTTTGACTAGTGAGAGGCATCATGCTACCTAACTTAAAACTATACTACAGGGCTACAGTAATCAAAACAGTATGGTGCTGGTGCCAAAACAGACATATAGATCAATGGAACAGAAGAGAAACTTCAGAAATAACACCACACATCTACAACCATCTGATCTTTGACAAACCTGACACAAACAAGGAATGGGAAAAGGATTTCCTACTTAATAATGGTGCTGGGAAAACTGGCTATCCATATGCAGAAAACTGAAACTGGACCCCTTCCTTACACCTTATACAAAAATTAACTCTACATCACTTAATGGTGTATAGGAATGCTTGTGATTTTTGCACATTGATTTTGTATCCTGAGAATTTGCTGAAGTTGCTTATCAGCTTAAGGAGTTTTTGGGCTAAGATGATGGGGTTTTCTAAATATAGAAACATGTGATCTTCAAACAGAGACAATTTGACTGCTGCTTTTCCTATTTGAATACCCTTTATTTCTTTCTCTTGCCTGATTGCCCTGGCCAGAACTTCCAATACTATGTTGAATAGGAGTGGTGAGAGAGGGCATCCTTGCCTTGTACTGGTTGTCAAAAGGAATGCTTTCCAGCTTTTGCTCATTCAGTATGATATTGGTTGTGGGGTTGTCATAAATAGCTTCTATTATTTTGTGATATGTTCCATCAATACCTAGTTTATTGAGAGTTTTTAACATAAAGGAATGTCAAATTTTATTGAAAGCCTTTTCTGCATCTGTTGAGATAATCATGTGGTTTTTAACATTGGTTCTGTTTATGTGATGGGTTATGTTTATAGATTTGCGTATGTTGAACCAGTCTTGTATCCCAGGGATGAAGCCAACTTGATCGTGGTGGATAAGCTTTTTGATGTGCTGCTGGATTCAGTTTGCCAGTATTTTGTTGAGGATTTTTGCATTGATGCTCATCAGGGATATTGGCCTGAAGTTTTCTTTTTTGGTTGTGTCTCTACCAGGTTTTGGTATCAAGATGATGCTGGCCTCATAAAATGAGGCTTTTTTGCCCTCTCTTCACCTTTTGCCATCACAGGGTGGAAAACTCCCTGGAATCATGCTAATGCTGCCATTTTCGGTACATGGGACCCTGAAGGAGCATATAGCTCTATTGCACGTGCACATGTTTCTCCTATCATAAATATTCATTCACCTCCTATAGCTCATCAAATATGTATATTTAGCCACCCCATTCAGCATAAATTCTTGTCCCCCTTTCTCCTCCCTCAAAATGTCTTTTCTGGCTTCTGGCCGGATGCTGTGCTTCCCAGCCCATCAGACAGCCTGGCCACCCTGCAGGGTGTACCCCTTTATGGGAAATACAGCTCTCCTTTCCAAATTAATATTGTATATGTGTTATATATATAAAATAATCTCCTTTCCAAATTAAATATACATATATAT